GTGTGTGTGTGACGGGATGCGCGGGGGGGAGGGGGGGGATGTGGGGATTTCGTGCGGGCCACCGGGAGGCGATGCCCGGTGGGCCAGGCCCAGATATGGGTGTGCATGGTGCGCCCCGGCCCCGGCGGTGATCCTCCATCGGCGGGCCCCCTGCGTCGCTCGCGTTCCGCCCCCCGCGCCCGATCGCCCCCCCCCCCCCCCCCCCGTCCCCGGCCCGGAGTGCGCGACCTCACGCTGCCCTGTGCTCTGCCCGGTGGCCGCCCTGCTCCTCCCGACGAATGGGCCACGTTTGCGGCGTGGTGTATGTAGGGTGGTCTAGCCAGCCATCCCCCCGGCGGGGCCCCCCCGGCGGGCACACACGCGCCTCGCCCATCCCCGGCTTAGTCGCAGCGCCCGGGCCAGCAGGCACGGGGCTGCGTCTTTTCCCGAAGCTTTTTTGCCCGGAAGCCTCGCCGCCGGAACAGGAAAAGGGTGGAGCATCCCCCTCTCGATGGGCGGGCGCCAGAAAAAAGCTGGCCCGAGGTGGCGTGACCAGCTCGCGGCGTATCATGGGCTGCGCTTGCGTGAAAGGGTGGACCGCCGGCGCGGACTATACCGGAAATCTCCGGCGGCCCGCGGGTCTCGCGGCACCGGCGGCCGAGCTGCTAACCGCCTCGGTGAGAGCCAACGTTGGCGGAAAGCCCGGGGCTCTGTTCGCAGCCAGCTGGACCGCCAAAGGCAGGAATAAAGCGCCAAAAGATAAACCTTGAATGGCCCCTGGCAGGAGTCCTTCCCCCGAAGCGCGGCCAGCCCGGCGTCTGCGCTTGGAATGCAATTCATCCCATCACATTATCCCATTAGGCCCATGACCCGGCAGAGTCACACCACACACCAAGGGCTCCCCACTCGGCCGCGACCCGACGCGGTTCAGGTCTCGGGCGACAAAAATACGTTACACATTTCAGGGGGCCGACGCCCGTGGGCGGCCCCCCCGCCCCCGCGCCCCGGGCCGTTTCCCCTTCCCCCCGGGGGGGGGGAGAAAGCTGGCATCGCCACGGGCGCCCGAAGGAGGGAGGTGTCAGGGCTCGCCCGGAAGGCAGGGGGACTCTATTTACCCCCCTCACGCCTGGGGGCCGCACATGCGCCGCAGGCTGGGGAAGTCCGGGGAGGCGGAGCCGCGGCCGGGGTGGTACGCGCGCATGGATGGAATATTCGCACGCCGGAGCGCGAGTTGCGCTGGCGTGCCCTGCCTTGCGGCCCCCCCCCCCCCGGTGCCTCGCCCCTCCATCGCCTGCGCCCCCTCCAGCGCCCTTGGATTCGCGCCAAGCACCTTTGGCCGGTGACGACTGCCTCCTGCCCCGCTCATCCTGGCAGGTGAGCGCCTTCGGTCGGCCCTGCCCTCTTGTCCCCCCGCCTCCAAAGGCGTCTGTCTTTTCTCCACCTCGCCCTATGCGTTTCTTGCCGAGAGGGCCATTTCCGTCTGGAGACCCCCCCGCCTTCCCCCGGGGGCGGGGGGCGGGCCAGGTCCAGGAGACTGGGAGCCCGAGCGCAGCTGTCAAGCAAGACTGGTTCCGGCGCTGACGGCCCGACCAGTGACTGCCCCGCGTCCCCCCCTCCCCCCTGCACGCGCCCCCCGCATCCCCCCATGCCTTCGGCAGTATTGCTGCAGGCCGGTCATGGCCGGCTTTGAGCGGGGCAACTCTCCCGGGCACCGGACCCGCGACTCACATTCGGCACTGGCGGCCGCCCTTCCCCTGAAGCTGGCCCTCTCTCTTGGGGCCCTGTATTCCCGCGAGGACTTGGCCCTCTTCCTGGGGGGCTGCGGCCGAGAAGGGGGGCCGCCCCTTGCGCGCAGCCAATCGGAGCAACTCCCCCGTAGCGCACGCGCATGTGCGTGTGTGTGTGTGTGTGTGTGTGCGTGTGGAAATCAACACCGCTATGAGCATCACATTCACACTCATCCACACGCGCCACCTGCGCACACGGACCCATTTCAGGGCGCCAGCCTTCGGACGCATCAGGGCCAACGGGCCCGCCTCCGGCCCCCGGCCCCGGGCTGGAAACATTCCGGGTCAGTTCGGCGCCCGAAAAAGCCCCACAATCACACCATGTGCCAACTGATAGGGCCTTTTCTCTCTCTCTCTCTCGCTCTCTCTCTCGCTCTCTCTCTTTCTCTCTCGCGCGCGCGCGCCAGACCTGTTGCCGGGATTTGTTGTCGTGGGCTCTGCGAGGACGACCCTGCGCGCGCGCGCGCGCGCATCAGCATGAACACGCAGGCCCAATAGGGAGCAGTAATTCACTGGCCCGATGGATGCTGTTGACGACGGCATATCGCAAGGGGGCTGGAGCGCGCGCATGCACGTCCGTGTTGTCCGGCCAGCAAGAGGACCAGCATGTCACCACCGGCCGGCAAGAGGGAACCCAAGGAGCCGGCCCCGCATCGAGAGTCCCCCTCCCCCCGGCGGGTATGCCAGCGCCGGCACGGGTGCATCCCAGCCCGAGAGCCCCCTCGCCCCCCCGCCCCGCGGCAGGACGTGTACATCGGAAAGGCCCGTGGTGCCCGGGGGGGCCTGGCCAACCAGGCCCGGGCCCTCGTCCTGCCACCCTCCCCTCGCCCCCGGGGCCGAGGGGAGTGCGGAGGCAGGGAGAAGGCTCTGGCGGGGCGGGTGTCGCCCCGCGGGGCTCTAGGCCTGTGGTTCCTGGGCGGCATTGTGCTCCCCCCTCCGCCCCTTCGCCCTTGAAGGCGTGACAGTTGTCCCGCCAGCTAGCCCGAGCAGGCGCTTGAGGAGTCGCGGGCGCCCCCGCCCACGAAGTGAGGGGGGGGGGGGGGGGAGGCCTGGCCGGCCCGCTGGGCCCGAAGGGGCCCCGCCCGCGCACACCCCAGGGCGAAAGGCCGGGACTCCGGCGTTCGGCCACCCGTGTGCCGCGCCCGGTGTCCCGGCCACCGCGCCTCGCTCGGGTACCACCCCCCATGCACGCAGGGCAGGGCGGCGGGCGGCCGCCCGCCGCCTGGCAGCTGGCCTGCGGCGTGTGCCACTCGCTGCGCGGCGCCGGCCCAGACACGTCTCGGCTCCGGAACGACATGCACCGGCGGGCTTCGTGATCGGCAGCAGGCGCAAGCGCGACAGGTGCTCGCGACCGGTGTACGCCGATGCCGAGGCGGCGAGGACGTGCGGCCGAGCCCACCGGGGGCACCTCCGCCTTTGCTGCCCCCGCCCCTTTGCCAGGCCCGAATGCAGGAAAGTGGCCGGACACGCGCGCTAAAAGGCACGCATCAGGGGCGGCGGCGGCAGCTGTCGTTGTCTGGTTGGCCGGCCGGGTACAGCGCTCGGCGGGGTCCGCCTCGGGGCGGCGGTGGCCTCTGTGGCGCCGCCGGCCCTCTGCCGACGCCCTGCTCATGGTGCGCCGGGGTTGACAACTGGGTGCCCGGCCCGGGGCCGGCGCCGCCGCCGCCGCGCGCGCTGTCTCGCGGTTTCGCTGACGCCCGCACTGCCTCGAGTGCATGCGGGGCCCGCCGCGCGCGCCCCCGCCCCTCCTCCTCCTCCTCCCCGGGCGCCAGCCCCGCGGGTCGACGGCCGCAGCCTTCGCGCCGATTCCGGCATGAATGGCGCATGTTTGTTTGTTTCACCCGCTTCTCGACCCCACCCCCCTCGCCCGGGCGGGGGAGGGCGGCGCCCGGCCCCCGCGCCTCCCCCCCGAGGGCTGCCGACCCACAGGCGGGACACGGGCGCCCGAGTTTCGCAGGCCGACATGTGGCGCCCCGTGCTCGGCTCCGTGCACCGGTCGGCCGGAGCCTCCGCCCCAGGGCGCGCGATAAACAATCCCGCCGCAGGGCGAATATACACACACACACACAAGCACACGCACACGCACGCACACACACACCCTGGCGTCGCGATGCATGGCTCCCACGGACAGCCCCCTCGGGGCCACCGGCACCATTACTGGGCATCGCCGCGGATGTGCATGTATGTATGTATGTATGTATGTGTGTGTGTGCGTGCATGTGTGTGCGTGTGTGTGTGCGTGTGTATACGGCCGGGTCCACACCGGCCGGAGGCGTTTCAGGTTGGGCCACCCTCGTGTGCCGGCCCGAGGGTGGCCGGCCGGCGCGTCTGACGGCGCCCCAGCCGAGGGGAGCCCGTGCCCGGCGGGGCATTGCGGCGGCCCGGGGCAGGGCCGCCGCGCGTCGCCGACCCGGCAGCGCCCGATGCACAGGCCGCAGGGGCAAGGGACGACGCACCGATGGGCGCGCGCGCGCGCACGCGCGCGCTGAAGCATGCGGCGCTTGTCAGGGTGCGACAGCTGCCCGGGGCCCATCGGATGGGTGCGGCTGCGCCATCATGGCGGGCACCTGGCCGGCTGGGCGGCCGTCGCCCTTCCTCCCGGACCTACATGTGTTTGGGGGGCATGCCGCGGCCGGGCGACCGCCACCCAGCAAGGGTCGGCCTGGCCGGTGCTCTCCCGGCAGGCAGACCCATGGTGCCGGGAGACCGGTGACAGATGCGCCCGGGCGGATCGGGCCCCGGCAGCGACCGGCCGCCCGGCGCGCAGGACCGAGGATCGGGGGACGGGCACGCCGCGCGCGCCCCCCCTCCCCCTCCCGGAAGGCGCCAGAGGCCTGTGCCACTCGAGGCCACCCGGCGCCCGGTGGCGGTGGCCGCAGCTGGGCCGCGCTCCGGCGAGCCAGAGGAGGGGGGCGGCGGGGGCAAATCCGATGCTGCCCCCGCCGCCCCACGCCCCCCCCTACCGACGCAGGGTTCCGCCGCATTCTTCGTCGAGGGCCGTTCCCGATCGGGACCGCCCCGC